ACGAACCCCTGCCTGCTAGGCCACGAACCCCTGCCTGCTAGGCCACGAACCCCTGCCTGCTAGGCCACGAACCCCTGCCTGCTAGGCCACGAACCCCTGCCTGCTAGGCCACGAACCCAGCTTTTAATTAGCCCCACCTGCTGGGGTTCCCCATAAGGGAATTCCGTTCAGGGCTAAACAACATAATATGGGAGGGGGGTGCGTATGAGGGGCATGGGGCTGGAGTACACATTTTGGTGAACGAATAACATTTAATTTGCATATTTATTATCTGCATGATGAATATGCAAATAAAATGTTTCTGTTCCACCAAAAGTTTGTGAATGGGTTTGCTGGTCCCCAGTATAAAAAGGGCTGAGAACCCCTGTCCTAGGGCATTAAATCAAAGGCATCAGTCACTTAAGCGATATACCCCTCATTGTTGCAAAGGCATAATTATCCCTTACCCTCTTACAAGCCCATTATTACCTTCTACACCACGGCGACACCTCTCCTAAATCTCAGCCTGGTTTAATGTTCATGCTCCCCACATTCCCTTAACACTGGGCATTTCAGAATTGTATTTTGAGTTACTTTACTGGTCACTTCATCAAATCACTGTTTCATTCGATCCTTTGCTTTATCTGATCAAATGCCTCAGAGGAACCAAACTTTACATCCTTTATTTTGACTTATTATGTTACTGTAAAAATTAACTTTGGGATTCCATTGGAGCCAAAGAAAAATGCCTGTTTCTTAAGTGTGTGTCAGATGGTCAGTAAGATACCTTAAAGAACCCATAACCCTTGTTTCTTCCAGATCTTGCCTACCCCCACCTGCTTTTGGTCTCGCAGGTCTCTTATTAATGCACCTTAGTAAATGTATATACTGATTGCAATATTCAGATAACAACAAAGGACTTTGGCCCTAATGAGAGCAGAATGGGCACAGGGAGAAGGTAGTACAGTAAAGCTACACATAGGATCAATACCAACATGCATGGAACAACTATTTAAACAATATTTATTTGCCACCATTTTAAATGTAATATATTGTTCCCTCTAGGTAAAAGTGTGAACATTTACCCGTGGAAATCGGTAAAACCAGTAATCTTTCCACTCCCTCATCCTCAGAGATAATTCCTCCCCTATTGAAGATGATAGCAGTGATGAATTACTACAGCAGAGACATTAATCAGTAGCCTGACTGCCAAATTCACAGATTTCCTACAGACCTTTTTGGCTATTCTATTTTTTTAGAAAGTTGCCCCTGCTAGAACTGGTAGGTAAATCCATCAAAAAACTAGTCAATTGGAATAAAGTACAGGAAACACAGAAAAAAAAACCTGAGGAGCAGCTTAGCCACTCAGTACAAACAATTTCAACGGGAGAGGAGTATGAACTTCCCAGGACAAAATTAGGTCTTGGGAGAAAATGAAAAGCCCTCAAACCTTGTAAGCTCTGCAAATTTGCCCCCATCTTAACCACCAATTGCTAGTGTGTTTGCACAAATACAAATCTCTAGTGTAGACCAGGAAAGCCACAATTTGCATTTACACTTGTTTCTAGCAATCTGTTTCAGTGTCAGCTCAGACTCAAGGTGCCGCATTCTTTATGTTCACCTGTCTCGCTCTCCCACATTGCAGCACAGTCTTACCAGAATTGCAGCACAGAGAATGACCATCGGAGAATGACAACTGAACTACGTTAGAGTCCTGAGCATGCCTCAGTGCCAGACTTCTTGCTGCCAATCAAAAGTAGGCTGATAAGAGGCTCCATTTGCATATGTATTCATAAATTCTTCCAAAGGCACACAGCCTTTGTTTAATACTGATGCCATCGGAGAATGACAACTGAACTACGTAAAGTCATTTTACAGCTTCATCCGATCAGTTTTATTTTATTACAGAAATCTCCTCACCAGCAGACATGAAACTATACAAGTTCATGGTAAACAGTGTCAACATTTCCCAAAGAAACCAGCATTGGTGTTTCAAGTTGGGCATCCATTCAACAAGGCACTTAAACTTCTGAAAAGTTTTCCCTGAGTCCACATTACTCCTGCCTACCAAAAAGCCCAAGCCCCTCCTCCTCTCCGACACAAACACAGGAGATCCTACCATACCTTCCCTTATTCTCTGTGGCTATGTCTAGACTGCAAGCCTCTTTCAAAGAAGAGCATCTAGACTGCAAGCACTAATTTCGAAAAAGCAAGCCGCTTTTTCAAAAGAAAGCAGTGAGTGAGTCTGGATGCTCTCTTTCTAAAAAGCCCTGTTGGCATTCAAGAACGCCTTTTTTCAAAAGAGCACTTTCGAAAAAAGGCGTTCTTCCTCGTGAAATGAGGTTTACCGCTGTCGAAAGAAAAGCCGCGTTCTTTCGATTTAATTTCGAAAGAACGCGGCTGCAGTCTAGACACAGGTGAAGTTTTTTCAAAAAAAGGCTACTTTTTTAGAAAATACCCCTGAGTCTGGACACAGCCTGTGTGGGTTATTTCCCCACTGTACAATGGAAACTGAGTTCAACACAGAATAAACTTAAAAAACAAGTAGTATGGTACCACTTTAAAGACTAACAAAACATGTAGATGGCATCATGAGCTTTTGTGGGCACAGCCCGCTTCTTCAGATGACCAAAGTGTTTTATGTACAAAACCAAAATAAATAGCAAAGGGAAGAAACTGAATTGTATGTAATGTGTTTCTATGGTGCCATCGGGCTAACAGCTACCACAGGCACTGGGGCAAGGAGAAGGTGGAGCTTCGAGCAAAAGGGACGGGGTGGAAGGCAATCAGCCCTTAGCACTGCCCAGACTGCTGCACCTCCCCAGCTCTCAGAGCCATGCAGAGCAGCACTCAAGCAGCAATTCAAGAGAGGCCTGATCTCTGGGCCCCTTTGAACCTCTGGGCTCTGAGGCAATTGTCCTCTTTGCCCTCCCGCCCCGTTCTCCGCCCCATCAGTGGGCCTGTATGGCACCCATCACCATGGGATGCAACAGCCTTGCAGGAAGAATATTTTTATGCTGTGCATTAGCAAATAGTCAAGTCATGAAAACATCTGGTTACTATGATCGAGCTAAATTTGCCTTGTTGTCACTCAGTTGAAGTTAGTGGAGCGACACCTCAGAGGAACTAGTCTCAGTGCACCAAAAAGACTTTGTGACCTTCTCCCCCCAAAGAAAAAAAATTAGAATTAAAACTTTCTTTTGCACAATGCACATCAGGTAAAGTATATGAAACTCAAACAGCTACACTTTATAAAGTAAGACCAAAAATTCTGCTTTGAAAACATTTTAAAATTCTGCTTCAAATTCATGGGATGGTAGAGTAGCAGAAGGAAATCACCTGCAACATCTGAGAACAGTACCAGTTTCTAAGTCAAACCCATATTCCCTGCCCTAAGTTAAATGGGTATAGTGTACTCAACTATGGTAGGGAAAAGGCAGCTATTGCAAGGAAATTCAGACCACGGCAAGTTAGGATAATACACTTGAGGCATTCAACACTCATCAGTCCAATCCTGAAGTCCCACTCACATTCTCTATGTCACTGAGGCTTGCCCATAGAACACCAGGACCTTCCCATGCCCTCTGCTCTTTCCTCCACTCCTAAAACCTCTTCAGTCGCAAGATACAGTTACTTAGGGTGCCGTGGCAGAGTTGCTATCTGCCCCATCGTGCAGTTCTCCCATTGGAGGGGACGATCTATCCTACGGCTATCCCTTTGTAAGTGTAACATGCTCACATTTGGAATAGCACAAGCTGACAGTATCAAAACCAAATCACTCTGTGACTTTTCACTCTGTCCTTGATGTTACAAGCTGGTGGTACAGAGAGATCAGTTTCTAAGGTCACTGAAGGAGAATGCTGTAGTTCATACTCCATTTACCAAAGAACATTCCCGTCTGATTTGAATATTGTGGTGCAAAGTGGCTTGAAGAAGCTGAAACTCTAGCAGTTGTGCATGAGCCCAGTTTGTCTCCTGTTGTGCTTTGCTTATCTGC